CTGAGACTGTAGACCCAGGACTGAGGCTGTAGACCCAGGACTGAGGCTGTAGATCCAGGACTGAGACTGTAGACCCGGGACTGAGACTGTAGACCCAGGACTGAGGCTGTAGATCCAGGACTGAGGCTGTAGATCCAGGACAAAGACTGCAGACCCAGGACTTCCAGTCCCAGAGACCCCCAGGGGGAGAGGGGGGTGAGCAGTTCACAGGTGCAGACTAAAGAGGCCAGGTTCAGAGGTTAGAGCGGGTGAAGAGCAATGAACAGACTCCAGCTGAAGCCATAATGATAAAGTAGAAAGAGGAGAGTGCAGTAACCATACTTCTCCAGCAGGGCGTCTCCACATGCAGCACCACAATCAGGAAAAAGACTGTGTTTTTTAAGTATTTTTCCTTTTGCGCAGGACGTGAAGAATAACTTGGTGAACAACGTGAACATCGAGCTGTACAACGCCCTGCACTACCACATGGCCAACAAGCGCTTCCTGACCAAGGACCTGAAGAACGGCATGACCATCACCTCCATGTACCAGGACCTGGACCTCCACATCAACCACTATCCCAACGGGGTGAGACACACACACACACACACACTGTCCCAACGGGGTGAGACACACACACACACACACTGTCCCAACGGGGTGAGACACACACACACACACACTGTCCCAACGGGGTGAGACACACACACACACTGTCCCAACGGGGTGAGACAGACAAACACAAACACACACACACACACACTGTCCCAACGGGGTGAGACACACACACACACACACACACACACTGTCCCAACGGGGTGAGACACACACACACACACTGTCCCAACGGGTTGAGACAGACACACACACACTGTCCCAACGGGGTGAGACAGACAAACACAAACACACACACACACACACTGTCCCAACGGGGTGAGACACACACACACACACTATCCCAAAGGGGTGAGACAAACACACACAAACACACACACACACACACACACACAATACACACTATGCCAGTAGGGTGAGAGCTGACAACCACAGACCATCTAAGAACCTGTTAGATCTGATGAATTTGAGACTTAAAGCTGGGGTACCTCGCTTTTTGTTTCATAAAGTCTACACTGTTTTTGTGATACACCCAAATATTGGTGATATTACAGCAATGGACAAAGTATAGTTTGTGAGAATTTTTATTTATGAAATTATTGGTAATTAAGAGAAATTCTGAGTTGAATTAGTTTACATTTAGTAGAAGAAGACTGGTGAGTACAGGGAAGTAATATTAGGCGGAACTGTTGTCATTCTCCGTTGTAACGGGGGGACGCATTGATCGTGACCCCTGCGTGACCCCTCAGAATTGAAACGACTGCTGCAGAATTTATTTTACAGTCAGTATTTGGTCTGAAACGCCACACATTCAATCTCTAAACTTGGTTGTACCTGTGCTCTTAGATTATAACAAGATGAGACCACAAAACGCACATACTGTAGAGCAGGCATGTCAAAGTCAAATACATCAGAGGGCCAAAAAAACAAATTTGCTGTGAGCCGAGGGCCGGACTGGTTCAATGTTTATTAACTCATTGCCTGCCAGCCTATTTCAGAACAGGTACTCCCATATTGCCAGCAGTTTCTGATGATTTTTATAGATTTTTCAAGACCCACAGAATATTGTGTACTATGACTATCTGAAATCCGAAACCAGATTCTGAAAGAATAGACTGTCTACTTTCATCAGCAAGAATAATTTTGATTCTAGCTTGTAATCCCCAGTTGAGTAGAGGGAAGTTTTACTGAAATCACCAAAAAGCTGAGAAAAAAGAGGCACAACAAGTGTATTCAGAGAGCGCTGCTGCCACCTGCTGGCTCGATTCAATATGCTCTCAAGCTTATCCCCAAACATATTAGATATAATAGACATCTGCGAACATGAACATTGCGGAAAACGTAATTGACGTAATAGTGCGTCAATGGCTGGCAACGGGCCATGTAAAATTCATTTGCGGGCCGGATTTGGCCCGCGGGCCTTGACTTTGACCCATGTGCTGTAGAGGATCAGGATGTCTGCAGTTTCAACCATTAAAGTCTCTTGATGTGACTGTTTTAACACCTTCAGAACCCATTATGTTTTTGTTTATACGAGATTAGAGATGACAGCTGAAGCTAATGTGAGTCATTGAAGTGTAGTAAGTATAAGTTTATTAGGGTCAATTGGTTTTTAAACACATATAAAATGATTACGTAGACCCTGGCAGAGCAGATGCTTGCAGAAGGGAAAATGGAAAGAGTATAAGTTGAAATCCCCTCGACCCGGAGGTGGGAGCGAGGAGAAGGTGGAAAGTGCTGGTCTGACCCGGGGAGGTGGAGGCTGCAGCCGACGGCCCTCACCTGACAGCAAACTATACTTTACTCTGGCTTTTTAGGTTCTTCTAATAAGACAATTAAAGCAAAACAAAGCTAGTACTGCTTAAATACCTGACAGGTATCGAAATCAGGAAGCGGGGAACACGGACCATCAACAGAGGCACGGTGGCTGAGTGGATAGCCCTCTCGCCTCTCAGCAAGAAGGTCCTGGGTTCGAATCCCGGTCGGACCAGGGCCTTTTTCTGAGTGGAATTTGCATGTTCTCCCCGTGTCTGCGTAGGTTTCCTCCGGGTACTCCGGTTTCCCCTACCACTAAAAATATGTACAATAGTTCTAGCATGTGCCTCCTGTTCTGGAACCCCCACTCCCAAAAATAACAATTGTAAACCGCTTTGAGACTCCGATGTGCAGTGAAAAGGCGGTATATAAATAAAGATTACTTACTTACTACACCTTGGCTCACACTTGGGACTCACTTCTCCAGAGACCACAGCGCGGCGGGGGGCGTGGTCAGTCTGATGGATCTGTGAGATCTGTCAGACTGACTGCTTCCGGCAATAACAGCTGATAAGAGACGCGTCACACCGTCACGTGTCACCTCTGATGAACGGCGGAAGTGTCCCGCCCAAACATGTCAGGTATTTAAGCAGTACTAGCTTTGTTTTCCTTTAATTGTCTTATTAGAAGAACCTAAAAAGCCATAAACATAAGAAGACAGAATGAATTTTCTACATTTAATTTATACTTTACTCTTATAAAGTATAGTTATTGATCTGCTTCAGGCCTCTCTTTTTCTATTTTCTGCCTGAAAAAGCTAATCTAGAGAAGTGGCAGAGGCTAAAAATACATCCCTTTAAAAAACTAGTGAAGGAACGGTTGTGAGAATGTGTATGTATCGTATGTACGTATATCTGTAGGTATTTATCTTCTCTCTTTCTCTCAGGTGGTGACGGTGAACTGTGCCAGGATCATCCACGGGAACCAGGTGGCCACCAACGGAGTGGTGCATGTGATCGACAGAGTGATCCGAGCCACAGGGCAGCACCATCCAGTCCTACGTAGAGGTGGACGATGAGCTCACCACCCTCGCCGTGAGTCTGCAGCCGCCACACCCAGCAGAACCCAACCCAGCAGAACCCAGTAGAACCCAGCAGAACCCAGCAGAACCCAGTAGAACCCAGTAGAACCCAGCAGAACCCAGTAGAACCCAGTAGAACCCAGCAGAACCCAGCAGAACCCAGTAGAACCCAGTAGAACCCAGCAGAACCCAGTAGAACCCAGTAGAACCCAGTAGAACCAAGCAGAACCCAGTAGAACCCAGTAGAACCAAGCAGAGAAATCAATAGAGGTTTTGCACCACCATGTGACCTACATAGCAACCGTCACTAGGCGGCCATGTTAGATGGCAGGTATGAAACTTTATACAGTCAGATTCAACACAGTGGCAGAGCGCACCTTCACTGAGGCTGATGGGAACGTTTTGCTGCGTCTTTAATTGTGGTAAACGCTCAGAGCGAGACAAAGATTTTGATTTTTTTTTTAAATACCGGCCGTAATTTGCCATCAATCACCCCTTGGACTGCCACCTTAACGTGGTGGGGGAGTTTGAGTACTCGGATGATCCTGGGAGCTATGCTGTCTGGGGCTTCATGCCCCTGGTAGGGTCTCCCATGGCAGACAGGTCTCAAGTGACGAGTCAGACGAAGCGCAGTCCGAAGCCAACCATGGACAGCACGACAATGAGAACCGTGACGTCGCCCGGCATGGCGCAGCCGGGGCCCCACCCTGGAGCCAGGCCTGGGGTCGGGGCTCGCAAGCGAGCGCCTGGTGGCCGGGCCTTAGCCCACGGGGCCCGGCCGGGCTCAGCCCGAAGGGATGACGTGGGCAGTCCCTCCTGTGGGCCCACCATCCGCAGAGGGGTCCGTGGCGGCTCGGTGCAGAGAGGACTGGGCAGCGGTCGAAGGCGGAGACCTCGGCGACCCAGTCCGCACACACAACATCTGGCTCTTGGGACGTGGAACGTCACCTCACTGGGGGGGAAGGAGCCCGAGCTCGTGGGGGAGGTTGAGCGATACCGACTAGAGATAGTCGGCCTCACCTCCACACACAGCTTGGGCTCTGGAACCCAACTCCTTGAGAGGGGTTGGACGCTCCACTTTTCTGGTGTTTCCCGCGGGGAGAGGCGGCGAGCTGGGGTGGCCATACTCATTGCCCCCCATCTCAGCCGCCACATGTTGGAGTTCTCCCCGGTGAATGAGAGGGTCGCGTCCCTCCGCCTCCGGGTGGGGGACAAGTATCTCACTGTTGTGACGGCCTACGGGCCTAACGATAGTGCAGAGTACCCGGCCTTCTTGGAGTCCTTGGGAGGGGTACTGGACGGTGCACCGCCCGGGGACTGCGTTATTCTCCTGGGGGACTTCAACGCCCATGTGGGGGACGCCAGTGACACTTGGAGAGGGGTGATCGGGAAGAGCGGCCCCCCTGATCTGAACCCGAGCGGTGTTCAGTTGTTGGACTTCTGTGCCAGTCACGGCCTGTCCATCATGAACACCATGTTCGAGCACAAGGGTGTCCATCAGTGCACGTGGCACCAGGACACCCTAGGCCGGAGGTCGATGATCGACTTTGTTGTCGTATCATCTGACCTTCGACCGCGTGTCTCGGACACTCGGGTAAAGAGAGGGGCGGAGCTGTCAACCGATCATCACCTGGTCGTGAGTTTGATCCGCTGGCAGGGGAAGAAGCCGGTCAGACCTGGCAGACCCAAGCGTATAGTGAGGGTTTGCTGGGAACGTCTTGCTGAGCCCCCTGTCAGACGGACTTTCAACTCACACCTCCGGGAAAGCTTCTCCCAGGTCCTGGCGGAGGAGGGGGACATCGAGTCCGAGTGGACCATGTTCTCTTCCTCTATCGCCGATGCGGCGGCTCGTAGCTGTGGTCGCGTGGCGATCGGGGGGGCGGTGCCAATGGAGTGGCAGACCGGGGTGGTGGTCCCTCTCTACAAGAAGGGGGACCGGAGGGTGTGTTCCAATTATCGTGGGATCACACTCCTCAGCCTCCCCGGTAAGGTCTACTCCAAGGTACTGGAGAGGAGGCTACGTCCGATGGTCGAATCTCGGATTCAGGAGGAGCAGTGTGGTTTTCGTCCCGGCCGCGGAACACTGGACCAGCTCTATACTGTCCATCGGATACTCGAGGGTTCATGGGAGTTCGCCCAACCTGTCCACATGTGCTTTGTGGATTTGGAGAAGGCGTTCGACCGTGTTCCCCGGGGTGTCCTTTGGGGGGTCCTCCGGGAGTACGGGGTCCGGGGTCCTCTGCTGAGGGCCGTCCGGTCCCTGTATGACCGGAGTCAGAGCTGTGTTCACATTGCCGGCAGTAAGTCAGACCTGTTCCCGGTGCATGTTGGCCTCCGCCAAGGCTGCCCTTTGTCACCGGTTTTGTTCACTGTATTTATGGACAGAATTTCTAGGCGCAGCCAGGGGCCGGAGGGGGTCCGGTTTGGGAACCACAGGATTTCATCTCTACTTTTTGCGGATGATGTCGTCCTGTTGGCTCCAACGAACCAGGACCTGCAACATGCACTGGGACGGTTTGCAGCCGAGTGTGAAGCGGCTGGGATGATAATCAGCACCTCCAAATCCGAGGCCACGGTGCTCGACCGGAAAAAGGTGCCTTGCCCTCTCCAGGTCCTGGTCCTCTCCAGGTCCTGGTCCTCTGCAGGTGGGTGGAGAGGTCCTTCCTCAAGTGGTGGAGTTCAAGTATCTCGGGGTCTTGTTCACGAGTGAGGGAAGGATGGAGCGTGAGATTGACAGGCGGATCGGTGCAGCGTGCGCAGTTATGCGGTCGCTGTATCGGACCGTTGTGGTAAAGAGGGAGCAGCGTCTGCAGTCAGAGCTGTATCGGACCGTTGTGGTAAAGAGGGAGCAGCGTCTGCAGTCAGAGCTGTATCGGACCGTTGTGGTGAAGAGGGAGCTGAGCCGAAAGGCAAAGCTCTCGATTTACCGGTCAATCTTCGTTCCCTCCCTCACCTATGGTCATGAGCTTTGGGTAATGACCGAAAGAACGAGATCGCGGATACAAGCGGTCGAAATGAGCTTCCTCCGCAGAGTGGCTGCTCCCTTAGAGATAGGGTGAGGAGCTCAGTCACACGGGAGGAGCTCGGAGTAGAGCCGCTGCTTCTCCACGTCGAGAGGAACCAGTTGAGGTGGCTCGGGCATCTGTTCAGGATGCCTCCTGGACGCCTCCCTGGGTAGGTGTTCCGGGCACGTCCCACCGGGAGGAGGCCCCGGGGAAGACCCAGGACACGCTGGAGGGACTATGTCTCTCAGCTGGCCTGGGAACGCCTTGGGGTCCCCCCGGACGAGCTGGAGGAAGTGTGTGTGGATAGGGAAGTCTGGACGTCTCTGCTTAGACTGCTGCCCCCGCGACCCGGCAACGGATGAAGCGGAAGAAAATGGATGGATGGATGAATTCGCCATCAAGGAAAAGAAACTATGGAAAAAAGCGACTGCAGCAGTGGTTAGCATGCTAGCATTAGCATGCTAGCATTTGTGACGATGCAGTGGTTAGCATGCTAGCATTTGTGACGATGCAGTGGTTAGCATGCTAGCATTTGTGACGATGCAGTGGTTAGCATGCTAGCATTTGTGACGATGCAGTGGTTAGCATGCTAGCATTTGTGACGATGCAGTGGTTAGCATGCTAGCATTTGTGACGATGCAGTGGTTAGCATGCTAGCATTTGTGACGATGCAGTGGTTAGCATGCTAGCATTTGTGACGATGCAGTTCAAAGCGGGGAAATCAAAGTGTTTGTCTGTTCTTGTCATTTTCACCTAAGTTAGTTGTTCTGATAAAAACATTGTGTTGGAGTAAAAAGTCTGTCAGTGACGTCGGTGACTGAGGCACGGACTTCATCACAATCAGATTTAACTACACAACAACAGGACGTACAGAGGATTATTCACTCATGGTCCACATTGTTTTCTCAAAACAAAAGTAAAAAGCACATTTAAAAGTGTGTTACGGTCTTACCTTATATGAACTCCATTCACCAACAGTTCAGACCAGGTTCATGTTTAAGTCCAGATAAAGGTTTAGTATAGATATGTAATCCTCCGTTTGGAAATAAGATTCAAAAAGTAAAAAGAACAAATATGGGTGTCCCTCTTGTTTTGCTAGCTCCGTGCCTCAGTCACCGACCGCACGTCACTGACAGACTTTTTACTCCAACACAATGTTTTTATCAGAACAACTAACTTAGGTGAAAATGACAAGAACAGACAAACACTTTGATTTCCCCGTTTTGAACTGCATCGTCACAAATGCTAGCATGCTAATGCTAGCATGCTAATGCTAGCATGCTAACCACTGCATCGTCACAAATGCTAGCATGCTAACCACTGCATCGTCACAAATGCTAGCATGCTAACCACTGCATCGTCACAAATGCTAGCATGCTAACCACTGCATCGTCACAAATGCTAGCATGCTAACCACTGCATCGTCACAAATGCTAGCATGCTAATGCTAGCATGCTAATGCTAGCATGCTAACCACTGCTGCAGTCGCTTTTTTCCATAGTTTCTTTTCCTTGATGGCGAATTCATCCATCCATCCATTTTCTTCCGCTTCATCCGTTGCCGGGTCGCGGGGGCAGCAGTCTAAGCAGAGACGTCCAGACTTCCCTATCCACACACACTTCCTCCAGCTCGTCCGGGGGGACCCCAAGGCGTTCCCAGGCCAGCTGAGAGACATAGTCCCTCCAGCGTGTCCTGGGTCTTCCCCGGGGCCTCCTCCCGGTGGGACGTGCCCGGAACACCTACCCAGGGAGGCGTCCAGGAGGCATCCTGAACAGATGCCCGAGCCACCTCAACTGGTTCCTCTCGACGTGGAGAAGCAGCGGCTCTACTCCGAGCTCCTCCCGTGTGACTGAGCTCCTCACCCTATCTCTAAGGGAGCAGCCACTCTGCGGAGGAAGCTCATTTCGACCGCTTGTATCCGCGATCTCGTTCTTTCGGTCATTACCCAAAGCTCATGACCATAGGTGAGGGAGGGAACGAAGATTGACCGGTAAATCGAGAGCTTTGCCTTTCGGCTCAGCTCCCTCTTCACCACAACGGTCCGATACAGCTCTGACTGCAGACGCTGCTCCCTCTTTACCACAACGGTCCGATACAGCTCTGACTGCAGACGCTGCTCCCTCTTTACCACAACGGTCCGATACAGCGACCGCATAACTGCGCACGCTGCACCGATCCGCCTGTCAATCTCACGCTCCATCCTTCCCTCACTCGTGAACAAGACCCCGAGATACTTGAACTCCACCACTTGAGGAAGGACCTCTCCACCCACCTGCAGAGGACCAGGACCTGGAGAGGACCAGGACCTGGAGAGGGCAAGGCACCTTTTTCCGGTCGAGCACCGTGGCCTCGGATTTGGAGGTGCTGATTATCATCCCAGCCGCTTCACACTCGGCTGCAAACCGTCCCAGTGCATGTTGCAGGTCCTGGTTCGTTGGAGCCAACAGGACGACATCATCCGCAAAAAGTAGAGATGAAATCCTGTGGTTCCCAAACCGGACCCCCTCCGGCCCCTGGCTGCGCCTAGAAATTCTGTCCATAAATACAGTGAACAAAACCGGTGACAAAGGGCAGCCTTGGCGGAGGCCAACATGCACCGGGAACAGGTCTGACTTACTGCCGGCAATGTGAACACAGCTCTGACTCCGGTCATACAGGGACCGGACGGCCCTCAGCAGAGGACCCCGGACCCCGTACTCCCGGAGGACCCCCCAAAGGACACCCCGGGGAACACGGTCGAACGCCTTCTCCAAATCCACAAAGCACATGTGGACAGGTTGGGCGAACTCCCATGAACCCTCGAGTATCCGATGGACAGTATAGAGCTGGTCCAGTGTTCCGCGGCCGGGACGAAAACCACACTGCTCCTCCTGAATCCGAGATTCGACCATCGGACGTAGCCTCCTCTCCAGTACCTTGGAGTAGACCTTACCGGGGAGGCTGAGGAGTGTGATCCCACGATAATTGGAACACACCCTCCGGTCCCCCTTCTTGTAGAGAGGGACCACCACCCCGGTCTGCCACTCCATTGGCACCGCCCCCCCGATCGCCACGCGACCACAGCTACGAGCCGCCGCATCGGCGATAGAGGAAGAGAACATGGTCCACTCGGACTCGATGTCCCCCTCCTCCGCCAGGACCTGGGAGAAGCTTTCCCGGAGGTGTGAGTTGAAAGTCCGTCTGACAGGGGGCTCAGCAAGACGTTCCCAGCAAACCCTCACTATACGCTTGGGTCTGCCAGGTCTGACCGGCTTCTTCCCCTGCCAGCGGATCAAACTCACGACCAGGTGATGATCGGTTGACAGCTCCGCCCCTCTCTTTACCCGAGTGTCCGAGACACGCGGTCGAAGGTCAGATGATACGACAACAAAGTCGATCATCGACCTCCGGCCTAGGGTGTCCTGGTGCCACGTGCACTGATGGACACCCTTGTGCTCGAACATGGTGTTCATGATGGACAGGCCGTGACTGGCACAGAAGTCCAACAACTGAACACCGCTCGGGTTCAGATCAGGGGGGCCGCTCTTCCCGATCACCCCTCTCCAAGTGTCACTGGCGTCCCCCACATGGGCGTTGAAGTCCCCCAGGAGAATAACGCAGTCCCCGGGCGGTGCACCGTCCAGTACCCCTCCCAAGGACTCCAAGAAGGCCGGGTACTCTGCACTATCGTTAGGCCCGTAGGCCGTCACAACAGTGAGATACTTGTCCCCCACCCGGAGGCGGAGGGACGCGACCCTCTCATTCACCGGGGAGAACTCCAACATGTGGCGGCTGAGATGGGGGGCAATGAGTATGGCCACCCCAGCTCGCCGCCTCTCCCCGCGGGAAACACCAGAAAAGTGGAGCGTCCAACCCCTCTCAAGGAGTTGGGTTCCAGAGCCCAAGCTGTGTGTGGAGGTGAGGCCGACTATCTCTAGTCGGTATCGCTCAACCTCCCCCACGAGCTCGGGCTCCTTCCCCCCCAGTGAGGTGACGTTCCACGTCCCAAGAGCCAGATGTTGTGTGTGCGGACTGGGTCGCCGAGGTCTCCGCCTTCGACCGCTGCCCAGTCCTCTCTGCACCGAGCCGCCACGGACCCCTCTGCGGATGGTGGGCCCACAGGAGGGACTGCCCACGTCATCCCTTCGGGCTGAGCCCGGCCGGGCCCCGTGGGCTAAGGCCCGGCCACCAGGCGCTCGCTTGCGAGCCCCGACCCCAGGCCTGGCTCCAGGGTGGGGCCCCGGCTGCGCCATGCCGGGCGACGTCACGGTTCTCATTGTCGTGCTGTCCATGGTTGGCTTCGGACTGCGCTTCGTCTGACTCGTCACTTGAGACCTGTCTGCCATGGGAGGCCCTACCAGGGGCATGAAGCCCCAGACAGCATAGCTCCCAGGATCATCCGAGTACTCAAACTCCCCCACCACGTTAAGGTGGCAGTCCAAGGGGTGATTGATGGCAAATTACGGCCGGTATTTAAAAAAAAAAATCAAAATCTTTGTCTCGCTCTGAGCGGTTACCACAATTAAAGACGCAGCAAAACGTTCCCATCAGCCTCAGTGAAGGTGCGCTCTGCCCACTGTGTTGAATCTGACTGTATAAAGTTTCATACCTGCCATCTAACATGGCCGCCTAGTGACGGTTGCTATGTAGGTCACATGGTGGTGCAAAACCTCTATTGATTTCTCTGCTTGGTTCTACTGGGTTCTACTGGGTTCTGCTTGGTTCTACTGGGTTCTACTGGGTTCTACTGGGTTCTGCTGGGTTCTACTGGGTTCTACTGGGTTCTGCTGGGTTCTGCTGGGTTCTACTGGGTTCTACTGGGTTCTGCTGGGTTCTACTGGGTTCTACTGGGTTCTGCTGGGTTCTACTGGGTTCTACTGGGTTCTGCTGGGTTCTGCTGGGTTCTACTGGGTTCTGCTGGGTGTGGCGGCTGCAGACTCACGGCGAGGGTGGTGAGCTCATCGTCCACCTCTACGTAGGACTGGATGGTGCTCCCTGTGGCTCGGATCACTCTGTCGATCACATGCACCACTCCGTTGGTGGCCACCTGGTTCCCGTGGATGATCCTGGCACAGTTCACCGTCACCACCTGAGAGAAAGAGAGAAGATAAATAGCTACAGATATATGTACATACGATACATACACATTCTCACAACCGTTCCTTCACTAGTTTTTTAAAGGGATGTATTTTTAGCCTCTGCCACTTCTCTAGATTAGCTTTTTCAGGCAGAAAATAGAAAAAGAGAGGCCTGAAGCAGATCAATAACTATACTTTATAAGAGTAAAGTATAAATTAAATGTAGAAAATTCATTCTGTCTTCTTATGTTTATGGCTTTTTAGGTTCTTCTAATAAGACAATTAAAGGAAAACAAAGCTAGTACTGCTTAAATACCTGACATGTTTGGGCGGGACACTTCCGCCGTCATCAGAGGTGACACGTGACGGTGTGACGCGTCTCTTATCAGCTGTTGTTGCCGGAAGCAGTCAGTCTGACGGATCTCACAGATCCATCAGACTGACCACGCCCCCCGCCGCCCTGTGGTCTCTGGAGAAGTGAGTCCCAAGTGTGAGCCAAGGTGAAGGCCCCCTCGTGTCTGTAGTAGTAGTAGTAGTAGTAATTTTTATTTATATACCGCCTTTTCACTGCAGATCTGAGTCTCAAAGCGGTTTACAATTGTTAATTTTTGGGCAATTGTCTCTCACTCCACACAGAGATGGGAGCGGGGCCAGTACAGGAGGCACATGCCAGAACTATTGGACATATTTTTTGTGGTAGGGGAAACCAGAGTACCCAGAGGAAACCTACGCAGACACGGGGAGAACATGCAAACTCCACTCAGAAAGGCCCTGGTCCGACCGGGATTCGAACCCAGGACCTTCTTGCTGAGAGGCGAGAGTGCTATCCACTCAGCCACCGTGCCTCTGTTGATGATCCGTGTTCCCCGCTTCCTGATTTTGATACCTGTCAGGTATTTAAGCAGTACTAGCTTTGTTTTGCTTTAATTGTCTTATTAGAAGAACCTAAAAAGCCAGAGTAAAGTATAGTTTGCTGTCAGGTGAGGGCCGTCGGCTGCAGCCTCCACCTCCCCGGGTCAGACCAGCACTTTCCACCTTCTCCTTGCTCCCACCTCAGGGTCGAGGGGATTTCAACTTATACTCTTTCCATTTTCCCTTCTGCAAGCATCTGCTCTGCCAGGGTCTACGTAATCATTTTATATGTGTTTAAAAACCAATTGACCCTAATAAACTTATACTTACTACACTTGTACTTTCGCAAATTACATCAATGACTCACATTAGCTTCAGCTGTCATCTCTAATCACGTATAAACAAAAACATAATGGGTTCTGAAGGTGTTAAAACAGTCACATCAAGAGACTTTAATGGTTGAAACTGCAGACATCCTGATCCTCTACAGTATGTGCGTTTTGTGGTCTCATCTTGTTATAATCTAAGAGCACAGGTACAACCAAGTTTAGAGATTGTATGTGTGGCGTTTCAGACCAAATACTGACTGTAAAATAAATTCTGCAGCAGTCGTTTCAATTCTGAGGGGTCACGCAGGGGTCACGATAGTAGATAGTATAGGCACCTATCAAGAGCAAGTGGTGAAAAGGTGGTACTGCACCCTAAAATCCCCTAGAAAAGAGGCACCGCTATTGAGCAAGTGGTGAAAGGTGTTACTGCACGGTATTTTTCAAAGAGTTTTAATGAGTTAGCTTCTGTGTGTGTGTGATAATGTTTCACAGTTGTCTAAAGTGATTTATGACCATAGTACATGTGTATTCTAAAACAAGCAGTTAGGTCAATAAACTAATTAATCTACAGGTCCTCCCTGTTAACGACACGTGTGTTTGTCTGATAGTGATGAGCAGTTGGGAGGTCGTACTAACAGCAAATCAGAATGGGTGGGAGGTCTATTAGAAGTTTTTCAATGGTTCAAACGCTTTGCGACTGTCTAAGAGAAGGTTATGCAATATGTCTAATACAGGTAAGTTATAAAATTTTTCAGTATTCATATTAAATGTTTTAATTTAGTTTATCTCTAGGAAAGGGTCGTTTATTGACACATTATAACACCGATGAAGATTTAACTCCAACAGCAAAAGTTACGAGAGGTATACAGCCAACGGATGAAATAGGGTAAGATCTCATTTTCCTTAATGTCTTAATCAGATGTTTAATACTTTTATTTCATTTTATACAGCACAGGTAAATTAAACACCAAGTCAATGCCCCTGATGCATAAATTAAAACAATTACATCAACATAAAGCTCCGTAAGTCGGTACATATACTAACTTTATATAACAAGTTTTATGAGAGGTATATATATATATATTATTATTATTATTATTTTTTTTTTTTTTCTAGAGCAATTCTATCACGCCGCAACGGACACAAAATAACTAATCACGGGGATGATGATAAAAGGTGAGTTACATATTATAATTTTATAATGATAGAGGTTATAATTTTCTTCTCACTATTTTAGCTCATCAGAGGGTGACGAAGACACAGAGAATCAGCCCTCAGTAAACCAGGATTTCAACATAATCGATTTTATAGCGACACTCGTAATTAATGCGTTATAATCCTAACCCTATTCATAAGGTAGTAGTCTCTATATCAATTTAATTGTCCAATACAATAAAAATAAGAACCCTATATACATATATGTACACAGTTTGAAACAGAGTAGGTAGATGTGAAACTAGGGTCCTTGGTACAGGTTTTCTTTTACACGAGATCAAATGATTTAAAGGCGTACATCTCTCAGATATACAATTGACACTTGTTACCATAAATAGTCATCTTAAAGACTGATTAAACAACCATATTACATACCTTAAACATTATGTACAACATTTTACCAAAACACAAACCAGTAATTAAACATTATGTACAACATTTTACCAAAACACAAACCATTAATTAAAATCCAGATTTTCTTATTATGTAACACTCTCATATTTATTGAGTATAGTAGTTTTGTTGTTTCTTAAAAACCATGATTTTTATTTTGACTCTTTAATGTCTTTGTTAAGTTGATTCCTTCCAGAGACCATTCTTCCCATGAATTTAGTTCTGAATCTAGTTTTTATTAAAGATATCAGTTACAGATTGTATCGACTTTGTCTTTTTTTTTTTTCCAAAGTTCTCGTAGATGTTTTGCAATTTACCTTATACAATGTAGGATAAATAGTATAATCCACTATAACATATAATTTTAACACCAAGCACTCAAAAACAGGATTTGATGAATCTCGATATATTTTCCTTCTGGTCTTTTTTTAACTATAGGCTGTGTTAAACGTTGTCTCCAAATGTTGACAACATAGGTGAGGTCGGTATAATCATTCTAGTATCTAAGGTCAGTAATGCTGAGCGGTGTTTTCGTAGATGTTTTCTGCTAATGTGTTGCAATTACCTTATACAATGTATGATAAATAGTATAAGCCACTATAACATACAATTTTAACACCAAGCACTCAAAAACAGGATTTGATGAATCTCGATATATTTTCCTTTTGCTCTTTTTATGTAAAATAACTATAGACAGTGTATGTGTTTTAAACGTTGTCTCCAAATGTTAACAACATAGGTGAGGTCGGTATAATCATTGTATTATCTAAGGTCAGTAATGCTGAGTGGTTTGGAAAGTGTAAAACACCAAGTGATTTGGCTAATTTTCCTTATGTACAGTGTCTGTGAGATTTACAACTCAGATCCTCAACGATGATGACTCCCAAAAATGTTGTTTCTTTTTACCCTTTTCAATTTCCCCCGTCTAGTCTTATCGATACACTATTTAATATTTTTCTTTAGCATTGAATATCATGTAATCGTTTTTTCTTTGTTTAGAGCAAAGTCATTTGAACCAACCAGATTTTTATTATGACAAGTTCTTTGTTTATTACTTTTTGATAACTCTCCAACATTTTTTCCACAACAAAATAATGCTGTGGCACCACCAAATAAGATTATTTGTAATATAGGTGTCATGTTTACAAGTTTAAAGACATAATTCAATCATTTATAAGTTTAAAAATGCAACACGTTCTTAAATGCTATGTAATAAGTTACATTTAAAAACAAAGATTCCCATTTTACATGGGAAATGAAGACAGGGGTGAAATCCGAGACACTCTGATAAAAGTCCTTTAACAGAGAAGGGGCCAACGTGTTTGGGCCCCGCAGCGCCTTCTTCACCCCTTACCGAGAGGAGAGAGGAGAGGGAGAGGAGAGAGGAGGAGAGGAGAGGAGAGAGGAGAGGAGAGAGGAGAGAGAGGAGGGAGAGGAGAGGAGAGAGAGGAGAGAGGAGAGAGGAGAGAGAGGAGAGAGAGGAGAGAGGAGAGAGAGGAGAGGAGAGAGAGAGAGGAGAGAGAGGAGAGGAGAGAGAGAGAGGAGAGGAGAGAGGAGAGAGGAGAGAGAGGAGAGAGAGAGAGAGAGGAGAGGAGAGAGGAGAGAGGAGAGAGGAGAGAGGAGAGGAGAGAGGAGAGGAGAGAGGAGAGAGGAGAGGAGAGAGGAGAGAGGAGAGAGGAGAGGAGAGAGGAGAGGAGAGAGGAGAGAGGAGAGAGAGGAGAGAGGAGAGAGGAGAGGAGAGAGGAGAGAGGAGAGAGAGGAGAGAGAGGAGAGAGGAGAGAGGAGAGAGGAGAGGAGAGGAGGAGAGGAGAGGAGAGGAGAGAGAGGAGAGGAGAGAGGAGAGAGGAGAGGAGAGGAGGAGAGGAGAGAGGAGAGAGAGGAGAGAGAGGAGAGAGGAGAGAGGAGAGAGAGGAGAGGAGAGAGGAGAGAGGAGAGAGGAGAGGAGAGAGGAGAGGAGAGAGAGGAGAGAGGAGAGAGGAGAGGAGAGAGGAGAGAGAGGAGAGAGGAGAGAGAGGAGAGAGGAGAGAGGAGAGGAGAGAGGAGAGAGAGGAGAGAGAGGAGAGAGGAGAGGAGAGAGGAGAGAGGAGAGGAGAGAGAGGAGAGAGGAGAGAGGAGAGAGAGGAGAGGAGAGAGGAGAGAGAGGAGAGAGGAGAGAGAGGAGAGAGAGGAGAGAGGAGAGGAGAGGAGAGCGCGAGAGAGAGAGGAGAGAGGAGGAGAGAGGAGAGAGGAGAGAGGAGAGAGGAGAGAGGAGAGAGAGGAGAGAGAGGAGAGGAGAGAGGAGAGAGGAGAGGAGAGAGGAGAGAGAGGAGAGAGAGGAGAGGAGAGAGAGGAGAGAGAGGAGAGAGGAGAGGAGAGAGGAGAGAGACCAGAAAGAGCCCAGACCCCAAGTGGGAGTCTGGGCTCTTATTAGACATTAGCCCAAATTCCAAAAGTATAGTTTGTTTTGGTTGTGGCACTGTGGGACTGCAGGGAGCAGACGTCAGGAGCAGACGTCAGGGGCAGACGTCAGGAGCAGACGTCAGGAGCAGACGTCAGGAGCAGACGTCAGGAGCAGACGTCAGGAGCAGACGTCAGGAGCAGACGTCAGGAGCAGACGTCAGGAGCAGACGTCAGGAGCAGACGTCAGGAGCAGACGTCAGGAGCAGACGTCAGGAGCAGACGTCAGGAGCAGACGTCAGGAGCAGACGTCAGGAGCAGACGTCAGGAGCAGACGTCAGGAGCAGACGTCAGGAGCAGACGTCAGGAGCAGACGTCAGGAGCAGACGTCAGGAGCAGAGGCGGCGGCCGCTCGGTCATTTACCAGTTAAAAACGTGGCCAGCTCATTTTCCGGGTAACATCGCAGCTTTTGTGTGAAGTGGTCGAGTGACTTATAACCCAGAAGTATGCGTTCAAACGGCGGCTGGCTGCAGGCGGTGGAGGCGGTGGACGCGTGCCAGATTCTGAACCGGACAAGAGCCCCAGTGTTCGGATATTTCTCGGCACTTAACGACCCAGACGCGCTAACCAAAATACAAGGCCCATAAAGAGCTACAGCTGGTCAGTGTTCCGAGCGCCGTGCCAGAGACGGACGGGCTTTTGTGAGGGCGTCCCGAGGAGCTGCGAGCGTCCGGTTCTGTCCACGCTTTACGAGCCCGGCGTGACTCGTTCAGACGTGCATGAAGGTGTTATTCTCCTTAAACACAGTATTACCTCCAGCTTTGTCCCGATGAGCTTTTAGAGCCGAGTGTTGGAGCGGACCGGTCTGAGGGGAGTTTATTTATGGATGTGCGAAGCTGAGAAACAAGTATAGATATTATCAAGTACAAATAAGACTGTAAATATGTGTATGTGTGGATATGTACACGTTTTATTGATAGACAATACAACATGTAAAGTGTGAGGAAACAAAAGGGGCAGAGACTAGTACCAGAGAGACAGGGGCAGGGGCATGATGTCACTTTGAATAAGATAAAATAATAAATAAATGTGGATGTAGGAAAAATCACATCATTTCAAACCACTGGACCACAAACAAAGTCATCGTTCAAGAACTATCTCAGCATTTTACCAAAGAAACAGTTTGGCCAAGCATGGAACAGAACCACATTTCATGATAATAATGCTAAAGTAGGGTTTTCAACTTGGACTTCTGCCCTGGGGCACACTAACAGAAGCGAGGCAACCAGTCTGTGCCACCACCACCAGACTCATTCTAATGTGGGGAAAGTGTCTTGCCCAAGGACACAGCCACAGTTTGGCACTTTACAGCCGCAGCCGCCCCACTGTGGCACCTGCTGATCCCAGAGGTCTCCCATCATGTTAGCTTTTTAGAATAATCTTTTGTTTTGTTTTTTGCAGCTATTGGACACCTGAGTGTCTCCTACGGGGATCAATAAAGTATCTACTGTATCTATCTATCTCTCTATCTATCTATCTATCTACTGTATCTATCTATCTATCTACTGTATCTATCTATCTCTCTATCTATCTATCTATATCTACTGTATCTATCTATCTATCTACTGTATCTATCTATCTATCTACTGTATCTATCTATCTATCTACTGTATCTATCTATCTATCTATCTATCTATCTATCTCTCTATCTATCTATCTATCTACTGTATCTATCTATCTATCTACTGTATCTATCTATCTATCTATCTATCTATCTACTGTATCTATCTCTCTATCTATCTATCTATCTATCTATCTATCTATCTACTGTATCTATCTCTCTATCTCTCTATCTATCTATCTATCTATCTATCTATCTATCTCTCTATCTATCTATCTATCTACTGTATCTATCTATCTATCTACTGTATCTATCTATCTATCTATCTATCTACTGTATCTATCTCTCTATCTATCTATCTATCTATCTATCTATCTATCTACTGTATCTATCTATCTATCTATCTATCTATCTACTGTATCTATCTATCTATCTATCTATCTATCTACTGTATCTATCTATCTATCTACTGTATCTATCTATCTATCTATCTACTGTATCTATCTATCTATCTATCTATCTATCTATCTCTCTATCTATCTATCTATCTACTGTATCTATCTATCTATCTACTGTATCTATCTATCTATCTATCTATCTATCTACTGTATCTATCTCTCTATCTATCTATCTATCTACTGTATCTATCTCTCTATCTCTCTATCTATCTATCTATCTATCTATCTATCTATCTCTCTATCTATCTATCTATCTATCTACTGTATCTATCTATCTATCTACTGTATCTATCTATCTATCTATCTATCTACTGTATCTATCTCTCTATCTATCTATCTATCTATCTACTGTATCTATCTATCTATCTCTCTATCTAACCAGGCCCTGCCCTGCTTGGAGGTCTGAGAGGATCTAGCTGTCACCTGCAGGTGGCGCCACACTCTTTTTGAACCATGACAAATCTCATGAATTATGAAAAAAGAGGCAAAGATGTCTGCAAGTCCAATAGATGGGTACACAACTAGTGCTAATATATATTTGTGATTAGTCCAGTGGGAGAACCAGACCATAGAACCAGACCAATCCAAAGTTCAGATAAATGGGTGGGGAAAGGTGAAAGGTGAAAAGTACTTTTGTCTTAAATGCACGACAATAATAATGTATGAAATCCCACTTCACCGAGGACAATGAGAAGAAAACTCTGAACATTGTTAACATTTAAGTGCGTGTTCCTAAAGCGTCCCCTTTAAAGAGAAGCTGCTGTGTCTCTAACTGCCTCCAGACTGTTCGTATCCTCAGTAATGTGCGAAGAGTGTTAGCGCATTAGCATGTAGCGCGGCCCAGACAGCGCGGAGCCAGTGTCCTCCGCATTAGCGCTTCATCCACGGCCCATTAGCTGCAGTGTCTGTGCCGGGGCTGTGCCGGGGCCGGGCTTTCAAAGAGCCAGGCCTGCGCCGTAATAGTTTCCAGAGCCACAAGGAGCTGAGAGCTCGCAGTAGCAGCACTCACCACCAAGTACAAAAACACAAGCCAACGTTTAAAACCCTGAAAAAATAGATGGAAGAGTGCTATGGTTAGACTTTCCCTCCGCAGAGGAGCTGGGAGCGCTGGGATCAGGACGGGGGGGAAGTGGCTGAGGCCGGAGCAAACTTCAGACACAAAAACATCTGCATCTGTGTCATTCATGGGTTTTATCTTTTGTTTTCAGAGTTGTTCTGAGAAACTGGGGCTGGTGCTGAAAACAAACGCCTTCGAAAATCTGACGGTATAATAAAAAGACTGCAGTATCTTTTAATTTTATTATTGTACATGAAATATCTTGGACAAAATAGACTTTATATATAATCTTTTACACTGAGAGATCAATACCAGAATAATGCATGTGTGTGTGAGGGTCTTTGTCTGTTTGTGCCTGTCCCTGGGCTGGTGTGTGTGTGTTTGTGTGTGTGTGTGTGTGTGTGTGTGTGTGTGTGTCTATGGGTGTGTATGCTTGTGTATAATCCTCTCATTAGCTTTCCCAGTGAAGGACCCAGGTGCACTCCCATGATGCACGGCAGTCGGCCCAGGACACCCTCTCATTACCGTACAGATATGTGTGTGTGAGAGTCTATGTCTCTCTGTGTGTGTGTGTGTGTGTGTGTGTGTGTGTGTTTGTGTGTGTGTGTGTCTATGTCTGTCTGTCTGTCTCTCTACCCAGGACCTTCTCTGTACATTACAGTTTGTATAAATAAAGTCAACGACTGAATTCCAGACGCACTGGGCTTTAGATCGAGTTACACCAGGTCTATATTGGCTGAGCTGAAGTTGGATGGATGACACAGTGAACTTGTGTCTATGATCTCAAAGACTACTGTGGGTTAGCAAGGCAGAGGGCCATATACAATAACACAGAGGGCCGCAATTGGTCCCCGGGCCTGCGTTTGGACAAGCCTGGTCTAAGGACATCATTGACGTTCATTAGAGGTATACAGGAGGAGGATGTTATAGTTCCAGGTGGATCATCAACACTATTGGTCCTCCCAACTGTCAATCATTCTGGTGATACGTGCTCGTCCAATAAGACCAGAGAGTTTTGTTCAAAAAGTGGAGAGGGCGGTTCTTTCCAAACATTTGGGAAAACCCTCCTTTAGACCTTTAAGATTCATTCATTTTAAATATCTTCTCAAAAAGTGCACTTCATTAGAGAATCATAAGACTGAGACAGAAAGTTATATGTTACTGCCACTGTAAACATGGCCGACAGCAGCAGCAGCAGCAGCAGCAGCAGCAGCAGCAGCAGCAGCAGCAGCAGCAGGAGCCCTGTGCAGACCACCATCAGAGTCCATCTTCTGCACATTCTTCTCGTCTTTCATTGGACCCGTTTTAGAAGCAACAAAGTGGCCCCACGTCAGAGAACAGAGTCTGCTGTCGTTACATTGTTACATATCGTTCAAAGTCGTCGTCTGAGAATCACCAACACCGTCTACAACATGTCCTCAAAACTAAACTTGATATTTACTACGCTGCCGTGTGCTGGGCCCCGGGCAGCACAGAGCGGGACAGAAACAGACTGAACAAGCTGGTCAGGAGGGCCAGCTCCACTCTGGGCTGCTCCCTGGACTCTGTGGAGGAGGTGAGGGACAGGAGGCCCCTGGACTCTGTGGAGGAGGTGAGGGACAGGAGGCCCCTGGACTCTGTGGAGGAGGTGAGGGACAGGAGGCCCCTGGACTCTGTGGAGGAGGTGAGGGGACAGGAGGGTGCTAGCCAAAGCCACCTCCATCATGAACAACACCTCCCACTGCACAGGACTGTAGAGGAGCTGAGGAGCTCCTTCAGTGGAAGACTGAGACACCCTCAGTGTAGGAAGGAGCGCTACCGCAGGGCCTTTATCCCCACCGCTGTCAGACTGTACAATAAGTCACTTTAAATGATCACTGTGTGAAAACCTGCACTACTATTGACACTTGTCACTTTTGTTGTACATAATTATTGTCACTTTTATTGTACATATATATCCTGCATGTAACATGTTTGCACAATCTGAGTGTTCTATCCATGCCAAATGTGACATGTACATTTCTCCTCTGTGAGATAAATAAAGCACATCTTATCTCTTATCTTATAATGTGTGTGTATAATGTGTGTGTGTATAATGTGTGTATAATGTGTGTGTGTATAATGTGTGTATAATGTGTGTGTGTATAATGTGTGTATAATGTGTGTGTGTATAATGTGTGTATAATGTGTGTGTGTATAATGTGTGTATAATGTGTGTATAATGTGTGTATAATGTGTGTGTGTATAATGTGTGTGTGTATAAAGTGTGTATAATGTGTGTGTGTATAATGTGTGAGGTCAGGAGGAGCTTCTTCATCAAAGACGTGTCTCTGAGACGATGCTCCCTCGGATCAGAAAGTGTAAAATAGTTTCATGGAGAGTTCTTTCTGATGTTGTTTGTAACAAACTTTGTGCTGAGTTTCTTCACCGTCTCAGACACAGACACAAGCACAGACACAGACACAAGCACAGACACAGACACAAGCACAGACACAGACACAGACACAAACACAAACACAGACACAGACACAG